ATTTTACAGTATTGGCCCCGATACCCGATACCAGTATCGGTATCGGTGCATCCCTACTGGAAGTCATCAAATATTCGAATAATTCTTATTAAATAGCACATTCATCTATTCATCTAAAACTATCAAAGTATAAAAAAAGGAAGTAAAACGACGAGTATATCAGAATATTAAGCTGAATTGAGTATTGGTTTACTTTTTGTACATTTTTTCAGGGTTTTTTTTGTGTGTGTTTTTTTCCCCAGAGGACCTTTTTTGGTAGCAATGGGGAAATCGTGGCATAAGGAAGAATTTAACTGTGCACACTGCCGAACATCCCTGGCAGATATAGGCTTTGTTGAAGAACGGGGATCAGTCTACTGTGAACACTGCTATGAAGACTTCTTTGCTCCAACATGCAGCCGCTGCCAGTCTAAGATACTAGGGGTGAGTTTAAAAAAGAAGGGAGCAGTAAAGATGCAACAATTTAGTTCCAATAGGTTTGAATGTCAATATTTGGTATGACCAGCTTTATTCTTCAGCGCAGTCTGAAATCTCTTTAGGCAGCTTTTCTTGTAAGGCTCTGCTTTATATGTTAGCTTATTTTATAAGATTATCTTCCAATCCGCCCAACATTACTGGGTAAAATGCTGCCTCAACCGTGACTGAGCCTCCACTATGAATTACAGTGCCACTTTTTCTCCACATTGTCCAGTTTCCTCTGTTTTTTAAGGATAAACTGCACATCATACTGAGATATGTCAAGTCAAAGATTAAGTTATACAAGATAAACCAGACATTTTAGGAACCACCTTGTTGGTACAAAATTTTTATTTTGTGTCGGTTAAACTGTATTATCATATTTCATAGAGTCAACTACAAAGCAAATTATGTATTATGTACATACCTGTGGCTCATTCCTAGAGTTTGGTGGCATTTGTATGTTTGAAGGAGTCAATGTTTGGTGTTAAGTTGTTCAACCAACAAACAAAAAACACAAATACAGACAAAAACATTGCCCTGAAAATGGTAACATACAAGGACTGGACTGAAAATAAGTGAAAAAGCAGCCAATGTTCAACAGAAACCTTTGAGAGACTTTCAGAAAGCCTGGAGAACTATTATGTATTTAGATTTGAAATAACTGCAAGGTTTGGGTCCTGTTAAGCTAACATAAAGACATGATGTGTGGGTTGGGTTTTTTGCACACTATTGTAATCATTAAGATAAAGTTAGTAATGAGTCCATTGGTCTTGATGTGTATATTTGGAGAGAACACTCACCTGATCCAATTCATGGAAGCTTGTCACACATTTCATCTTCATTTTGTTCGTATGTGTTTTTATGTTACTTTCCTATGTATATATTTTTTTGCTAAGACAAAATAATGTTTACTGTCTGCAGTAAAGAAATTGTCATCCAACACTGTATAAACATGGTTAGTAGCTCTAAAACATGAAATCTATATTCATGCAGATATTTACTGTATATACTGTGTGTAATGTAAACCTCCTGCTCGTTGGGACATGAGGTTCCTTTATTATGAAATCTGTTTATGATCAAATGCACTGGTGTATATATTTAGTACTACTCCATAGCACTTTTTATTCTACAAGTCACATTCGGCTATTCATAAGTTTTATTCTATGCACTTATGCTGATACTCAGACAATAGGCATAGTATTTTTCCCAAGGACACTTAGGCATGCGGAATGGAGGAGCCGGAGATCAAACCACTTGACCCTTTGATTAGTAAATGACCTGTTCTACCTCCTGAGTCGCAGCTACTACACTCACTTATTGTCTAGATAGATTAGATTAATATTTCTAACAGAAGTATTCATTTAAAACAGGAATGTCATTATTTCCCTACTAGCAGAAAAGCTTAAAAAGTACAGATGGAACAACATCAAAGACAGTTTTTAAATACATAAAAGACCAGAGCAGGAAGCCTGAATGTGCAGAGGAATATCGTTGGTGACCACCAGTAAAACTCAGGAATGCAGACGATGTTTGGGTGTTAGGAGAATTAGGCTTAGAGGCCTTGAGGCTGTAGGTGTAGCCTGAACCCAGAGTGTCAGGACGCTGAAATTTCTGCTCTCCTTGCTACTATGACATTCATCCCTCACGTGTTCTAACCCCTGTGGCCTAAATCCCTTTCAACCCTCTATTTCTCACACATCTTCAAACAGCTTATGGTTTCTTATTAACCTGTTTTCTCACTCCCTCGCTCATAATCCTTCATTTTAGTTCAGCTCGCCAACTTTCCATTGATTCTTTGTCTTATCTTGCTCTCACAGTTTTAGGGTGGGAAAGAAATCAGTGTAGGTCATGGAGACCAAGGAGAGAAAAAACTGTGATATTCAAGAAAAAATAAAATGACCTACTCTAGTAAAAGTTGTACAAGGATTTGTGTAAAAATTTGTGACTTATGAATAAAATTTCATAAGCAGCAATGTAATATGATAACATCCCTTCATAAGATGCTGCACCTCCATTTCCTGTTAAAGTGGATATAGCTTTCCAGTTGCTATTATATACACTAATGCACCTAAAACTATATTATGCCTCTTACTAGCCACATTGTTTACATTTTCCCTTAGGAGGTGATAAATGCCCTCAAGCAGACTTGGCATGTCTACTGCTTTCTGTGTGCTTACTGTCAGCAACCAATCAGAAACAACACCTTCCACCTGGAGGATGGAGAACCATACTGTGAACCGGGTGAGTTATAATGGGGTTGATAAAATATCCAGATGTACTTCCTGTAATTGCCACTGTACTCACTGTACATGGTATAATCAAGCTCAAAGCATCTGTTATAATAAATAAAAGAAATAAGAAAAAATCTAAACTACATTTTATAAAACATGTAGGTAGTGTATGGTCAATGGTAAGCTACATTTATAACACTTCTCAGGTTTTGCTGACAACACAAAAATAATCTAAAATATAAAAAAGAAAAGAAAAATGGTGGTACAGTGGTTACCGTTGGTGACCTTGGGTGATGCTCACTCAGCCCAGCAGGCTGTAACTGCTAGTTATTACTAAAGCATGGATTGATTGATCATAATTATTTAACCCCTGAAATTAGTGTCAAGTGTAGTTCAAGTTCAAGTTCAAGTTCAAATTTTATTCGCCACATGCAGTGGCAGGTTGCCCTGCAGTGGAATGAGATGTTCATTGTCACCAATAACAACAGGATCGGAAACAACAACACCTGCTGATTCACCAGTGGATCACTCGTAAGCAGTGTGTGATGAGTGAGTGTCAAATGTACTGAATATCAGCATTTTCCTGATTTAGGACATGTTTGCCTGTTACCAGTGTGCTTGTCATTGCACACTAAAGACTGTATATCTCCAAATGTAGGTTTTGTGGGGATTCCCTGTAGCAGTATACAATGTTTTTGTGCTAGAATAAAAGAAAAAAAAATCCAGCAGTGGGCTTCAGTTGAATTGCTGCTCACTCGCAATGTGTTTTATATCCACTTTCAGCTGTCGCGGGGTGACAGCCAGAGTACACCCTGGACAGGTTTTCAGTCTATTGCAGGTCAAACAGAGAGACAACAAACAATTCATGCAAACATTAACACCTATAGCCAAGTTATAGGTGTTAATGTTTGCATTAACACCTATGGGATGAGAGAACTGCGACCGGTTGTCTCACCCCAACCAGTCGCAGCAGATGGCCCCGCCCCTCCCTGAGCCTGGTTCTGC